CGTGCACAGAGCTGAGCGTGCACCAGGCTGCTCTGATTGGTTTAAAATGAAATTATTTACAGAATCAAACAATTGTTTTAACAAACTGAACTTTATGTTTGTTGAAGCTGAGAAGAGAAAACCTTTGTTTGTTTGTTTGTTTCTGAGCAGCTGTTTGATTAAAACTTCAGGTTTTAATATTTCTCATCTGCTCCAACTTCCTGTCAGAGATCTGTCTTTAAGTTTTCAACAAAGCCCGTCTGTTTAAACAGAACGGTTCTGACCCGTCAGAACCTGTTTGATCAGGTTAAATCAGCTGGTTTCACCTAAACTTTATGTTTTAAATGTTAAAACAACAGAAATGATTTAAAGCTCGGTTCCAAACAGAAATTAAACTACAGGAAGCAGCTCAGGACAAACTGCTTCTGATTTCAGATTAAAAGCTGAAGCTGCTGATAATTCCATCAGATTAAACAAACTGAGTCTATTCAGAATCCAGGACGACTTCAGCTTCCAGACTTCAAGTGTTTAGACGTCGTTAACACGTTTTTAATCTGATTTCCTGTTTACATGTTGAGTTGATCTTAAACTCGTATCTTTAATGAGCATCGCTCCAGTCTGCACTTCCTGCTCCGACCCAAGAATTAAAGTTTCTCACTGCAAACACAACGTAAAATATCCACAACTTTTATTAATGCCTAACAGTGAGGTGTGGGCCTGCACTCAACGTAAACAAAACCTGTTCTGAGTGTAAAAACACAGCTGATGGGACACGTTTTAAACTTTAATTTTAAGAAGAAAAATAAGTTGATTTTATTAATTTATCTCAACCATAAAAACAGATTCTGACCTGAAATTATTTTTAAAGTTTGATGAATAAAACCGATCAAGCCRTGACTCAGACCAAGGTTTATTTTGAAAGAAATGATTTATTTGATGAAGTGGGAGTTTTATTTTGGTAATTTCGATCCTGACAGATTTGCTCCTGAGCTTCCAGACGCTGCAGCTCAGTATCTGTTAACGGTTTCTCTCCTCCACCCTGCTCAGCGGTGTCGCAGCCTGAGCCCTCCCCCACCTCCATCACTCACACACACACACACACAC